GGTGCTGCTCGTCCCTGGCCCTTCTCTGCTGCACTCAGTGTCTGCCCGGCCCGGAGCAGAGACTTTTCCTGGAAACAGTTAAATTAAATGTCTTTTTGTCCATTTAAGGACAGCGCGGGGGAAGTTTTCTCTTCAGTGGGAAGTTTGCGAACTTCTGTGGGAGGCGTCCGTTACTGGGGCTTTTCGTGCGGTGTGTGACAGCCCAGGTAGCGCGTCTGACTTTGGGTGCAGTTAACAGGTTGGAATTGGTGCCGCTTTTTCGTAGCTCGTTGTATTTGAGACTGGGTGTCATTGTCCTGAATAGATGCTGGTTTCTGCTGTGAATATATGTTTTGCTCTATTCTTGATGCCACCAGTCTAACGAGGAGACGTGGTTTCTTACCAGAGAAGCTGTAATTCAACAGAACACAAAGGTTCTCTTTAACAGCAACTCTGTAAGAATTACGATAGAAAATGAAACTTATAGAAATAATACATCTGATAACTGACCAAACTGATGAAGAGCTTACTATCGTCTAATATGAATACAGCTCTTTGTGCCGAAGTACTGTAGTAACAAAATGACTTGAGCTGCCGAAATGTGTTCAGTGAGCACAGCTCTAAGGAGTCATGTAAAATCTCAGGCATCTGAATCAGTCTCTTAAATGATAAGCTATCCTAACGCTGGGGAAAAGGGAATGCATCTTTGTTGCAGACAAGGTGATTCAAAGACTTATCTCTTAGACTGCATTGTAACCCCTTGATAATTTTTCAGGTTAGTTATTTCTTATCAAATGCTACTTTGAAGATGTTAGTAAACTGTTTAGTATTTCTGTTTCCTGCTAAAGCATGAATCATGACTTAAATCCAAAATAGTTCTAATATGACAAGAACTGGTAATCTGAACAGTGTTAGATGGGCACTGGATTATATGTGAGTCATGACTAGTGCAAGTGCTCCCCTCAGAAGTTTCTGATAGCATGCTTCTGTTATTTCTGGGAGTTTGTTAATTGTAATTGAACTTTCCTTTGCCTTGTGATTTATCTCTTCTTCCTCTGTTCACTAATAAAGGTAAATTTACTCTTTAACTTGTGATAAACCATCAATTAAGACCTCTGTTATCCTTCAGTAACCTTTTTCTGCTTTGCTTTTGCATTTCACCTGAAGAGATGGTTCAGGCCTATGAATGTGAATGCCAAAACCCAGTATTTTTACTGTTTTTTTAAATGATTTTTCTTTTAAAGATCAATAGGAATAATGTGGGTGGGTATATCTTCATAATGTGCTGTTCAGCTTGTTTATTAAGGTAATTTAATCAGTATTACTACAACATTTAATTCTAAGTGATCTGCTTTAGCACAAATGGGCAACATCCTCTGCAGTTTCTGACAATCTAAAGTGAAGCTTTGATAAACTATGAGTGAGTTTAATTAGAAATATGAATCTTCCCACTGGAAAAGGCCTTTTTTTCCCTCTCTTGTGGTTAGTTATGCCTGCTGTGTTGTAGAGAAGAAACAGGAAGGAGTTTTGTTTAAGTCCCCCAGGAATACCAGTTAGAAGTATAAACTTAAGGGAATTGCTGGAACTTACCCAGCATCCAAGGAAGACTTAAAGCTTACTTTCAGGAAGCTAAAACACCCACAACTGCCCTACATATCACTGATAGCTAAGCAGTTGTTAGCATTTTTATTAGAACAGGAGTTTATCCCAAACATTTAATGGATATGCCAGGAGTGGGATGGGGACCAACATCTGACCTCAAATGATTAAATTAAAAAAAAAAAAAAGAATGGTTTCAGTTAATTTTCTTAGCATGTCTTGATTAGTGTTCTTTCCTGGTTTCATTTTTTACGGTGGTTGAATGTGCTGTTTTCAGGTCCCTACTGCACAAACCTAAGGCTTTTCTAGTCTGATAGACTTAAACTCCATTATTTGTGTGTTTTCCTGCAGTGTAATTACGGGATTTCCAAAACTCTTAATTATTTTGCTTTAACAGGTGACTGGTAGAAGAGAGAGTCGTGACTATGTCAAGGAGAAAGTTGGAGAACAAAAGCCTTTCTGGCTTGTTAGCCACATCTCTGCAGACACAGATCAAGACAGATGATTTCCACAATTTTTATATGCTTGAATCCAAAGAGCTAGGAAGGTGAGATTACTCCTATTTTGTTTTATTTCAGTAACAGGAATTTCTGTGTTAGATCTGAGATTCTTTCTGTTCCTCCGTTTCCCCTGCCTAGTCACTCACCATCTTCAGGTACATGAGCTGAAGAAGAGATGACGTAGGGTAATGCTGCAAGACTAAGAATGGGGATTTTGACTTGGTTATTCTGGTTGTTCAGATGAGTTTTCTGAAGTCCAGAAAACAAAGACCTTTTTCTCTCCCCCTCTGACAACCTGCTGTTTTGGGGTAGTTTGGCAGCCTGCTTCCCTTGCTCATGGTGCAGGAGTGAAATGGGAAATAAAGCCAAATGAAAAAACCCTTTGGTATTTATGGTACTGTTTCAGACATCGGAGTTAATGCTTTTTGGAAATCGTTGGGTGAATTCATACCCTGAAAATATTCAGGGAATTGGGTGTAAAGCCATGCAAATGCAATGCCATGGTCATGTTTCCAGAGCTTCTCCTTGAGTGGAAGTGGCACGGGTCAGTTTGGCATTTGTGCCTTACTGTGCTAGGTGGCGATCCTTTGCACCTGTAACTTTTTGGTCAACCAAGATGCTCATCTAGGTGTGATTTCCGTAAGCTCTTTAGCCTTCATTGTTCTCTTCTCTGGTGCATGATGTTTTTTGGTGTAGTGGGTTTTGATTGTTGTGTTTTTCCCTAGCATGTGCTTCATCTTGTACGCTTCTGTAAAAGTGCACCTTGCAGCCCATAATGTTCCTCTTACCCATGCAAGCAGAATAATGATTTTGTGTGGATTCCAAAACTTGGTCTTTAATACTTTCTGCGCATGCAAGATAAGTGCCAAAATGCAAGGAAACAGAAGCAGAGTAGTGTGTTTTCCAAACACTTTTTTTACTTTTTCTGGCATAATAGTGCGTTATTTTTTCATGTCTTAAGTGTTTGCAACACTTTAAGTGATGTAAAATCCACCTTTCATTGAGCTTCTCTAAAAGATTAAATATGCTATTCTTTTCAATTGCAATTTTCGTCTTCCTCCTCAGGTTACGTAGTAAATGGTTCTTTTGTTCTTCTCTGCTTAAGCTTCCCCAGTCCAATTTCTTCCTCCCACACCCTTATCTTTGAGGTCCTTTGGTATTTAAGACACTGACTCACGAAGCAGGCAGGTTCTGTGTAGTGGGTTAAGTAGTTTTGTCCCCAGCGTGTGGATGTCTTGGCTTCTTCTGAAGTAGTTGAATTTCTGTGGTTTATAACTTGGGATATGAAACCAACTTGAAATCAGTTTTTATCTCGTACAACAGGACTGTGAAGCGTGATGGTTAAGCAGTTGCTTTGCAGGCAGCAAGGAGGGGGAACCACTTTGCTTGCTGCAGTGCAACTCTTCAGATCTGACTTTTTTTTAATGTCGGGAGGAATTCCACTGTTTTGGAACTATTTTGTGTCTTAATAATCACCACATGACAAATACAGTGTAAAGAGGTGGCAATTCTTTCATCGTTTATCTGGAGACACTGCGGACCCTGAAAGCTGTGCGCCCGCGGTGACTAGAAGGAAGGTGTGCAGAGACTGTCAGGGAAGATCTTGCTGTTCTCACGAAGCTCAGCCAGTTCCCCTTTCTTAATTTTAGAGGAACTTTTGTGGTTCACAGGGTGATGTTAAAATGAGAATGTAAGCTGTGGGGGAGTATCTTAAACTTTGGTATATTATGAAATTCAGCCCATAGCTTCAAATGCTCTGCAGTAATAAGCTGGTTTAGCAATTGGGGAAGGACTTGGCTATTTTAGGTTTACAGATCTTTTCTTGTATCATTTGAAAACACTTTGCAAGTATGCAGCTAGGCATTTCTGGGAATGCCAAACTTGTGATTATAGAACTTTGTTTTTTCAGGAGTTTCTAACTTGGCTTAAAGAACTGCATTTTTTCCCCTAATTTTTTTAAAAGGTCAGCTTGGTGTTTTAACTGCAGTATGCGGTTTTCTTTTAAAAACATTTCTTTGCCAAAATACATTTTTGTTTCCATACCTAAACAGTTGGCTAGGAAATAAAGCAGCACACTTCATCTAACTCTAATTGAGAAAGAGAACGCAATGTAGTGGGTGTTTTTCTGTTAAGAGGTTTTTAAATACCTTGCAGATACCTGGGTGTTTTTTTAGCAGTACTGCATGATTTCTGGAGAAACTGATTCTTTTTTTTTTTTTTTTTTGAGAAATCATCTGCACTGAAGACCTTCCCCTCTCAACACCCCACCCCCTGCAGCATACAAATATGCTTTATTTTCTGTGTTCATTCTCTACCTTTCACAGGGTTTGCTTGCTCTATTTCTGTATGCTGTAGGTGCCATAAGGTGGTTGAGGTTTTTTTAATATAATTTGCTAACCTGAACGAAGCCCTGAGCAGCCTGCTAGGTTCTCATAGCTGGCCCTGCTTTAAGCAGGAGGTTTTGGTAGAGACCTCCACAAGTCCCTTCCACCCTGAGTTACTCTGTGATCCTACAGTGAGAACATCCGTGTAACCCAGTACTCTGATTTAATGCTCAGCTAATCTCTATAAAGGGAATTGTAGTGGGTCTCATCAAAGCTTCGTCTAGCTTAGCACGCTTTTTCCTGCAGTGACCGAAAGTGAATGTTCAAGGAATGGTGTAAGAACAGGCCAAACGTGGTATTCCCATGGTATAATTATTTTTTTGGTTCACAATTATTTACCATGCCTTTTTATTTCTAATGACATTTTACATACTTATTTTATGTCTTAGATCTTAATGTTTTTCCTTTTATTTTGTAGAGGAAGATGTGCTGTAGTTAGAAAATGTATAGCTAAATCCACTGGCCAAGAGTATGCAGCTAAATTTTTAAAGAAAAGAAGAAGAGGTCAAGACTGCAAAGCAGAGATTCTTCACGAAGTTGCTGTGCTTGAGTTAATGAAATCTAACCCTCGCATAGTTAATCTCCATGAAGTCTATGAAACCACACATGAAATCATCTTAGTGCTGGAATAGTAAGTCTGCCTTCGTCGTTCCATGTTTGCAGTTACAAATCTGTCAATGTACTCATCTTTTGCATGGGTTGCAAACCACCCAGAAGAATTGCAACAGTACGCAGTATATGTTATGCTAATGTTTCTTTATGGTATACTTTATAAACTCCTAGGGACTTTTTTGGGAGGGTTTATTTTCAAGTAAATGCAAGACTTGAATCAGTTGCTGTTAATTTGAATTGTTGGGTTTGTACATGTGTTGTTACATCCACAGCTAATGAGTTACGCCAAGCAATACGGAATAATGCATAAAACAAAATACACAGAAGCCTATAGGAGTTCTGTAATCAAAACTTAAAAACATGGACTGCGAGATTTTTTGTTTTTACAAAAAGCTATAAAAAATAGTTTTTTCTTTGTGCATAACTCAGTTTTGTAGACAATTTCACTCAATTTCAAATGCAATTTTTTTTGGTGCTTTTAAATACAATCTCAAGAGGGTCATCTTGATTAAACCAGGTGGGGTTTTTTTAATTTGTTTCTCATTATCAGAGCTCTGAAGTAGTACTTCAGAAGCATTGCAAGAAGCGAGCCTTTTACCCAGAGAATAGTTTATAAGCATTTTTCATTTAGCTGTTTTTCCCCCTCCATGTGGTCCTTGCTGACTTGGATTGTATTGGTGGGGTTCTTTGGAGGACACAGTAGTAAGAATCAGCTTGTATAAGTAGACATTTGCTAAATAAAGGAGAGGAATGGATGCTTGCTGTCTGTGAGGACTCCCAAATCCTTTTCAGCGGAGCTGTTCAGCTGTTACACATCTGGTTGTCCACCCAACCAGACCATAATGTAGTAATTTAAGTTTAAGAATACTGTAGGAGACAGTGTTGAAGTAAATGACATCCACTGCTCTTTCCTTCGACTACATTGTCATAAAGGTAACCAGGGGAAGCATTACCGATACCTCACATAACACAGTGACTAACCTGCTGGAGTTTATCTAGTTGGCCATTATCTAGCTTTTTTGTAGACTCGATTTCGCTCATGAAGAAATTTGGGCTTACTGATCTGTAGTTTCGAGGTAGCCCTTTATCCTTAAGAGAGAGAGAGACTTTAGGCAGTTAGAGCAGGCTGAGTAAGGATTTCAAACCCAGCATCAAAAGAAACAGCTGACACTGTGGCAAAGTGTGGAAGTATATAATAAGCCACATGCTGCACGGTTATTTCCATGCTTCCTTTATGCTGTGAGGAAGACACCTTTGAGATGCTGTGTGAAAACATGAAGCTTGCCAATCTCATCTTTGTTAGTGTGGAAATAGTAGATTTCAAAGTGACAGAGCTGAATCCTTGTATTTCTGAATATTCGGTGTCTACCAGAGTTCTGGAAGATATTACTTGCTGACTGACTAGACAGCTACATATTTAAGCAGCAGCAGCACGCTAGATTTCTCTTCCCTGTACCTTTCTGATAGAAATACCTGATTTTTTTTGTTTGTTAGTTTCTGTCAGAATGGCAGGATCCAGGGGGCAAATAAGCAGTTTCGTCCCACTCCAGAAATAGTCTTCAGCAACTCTAGCTATTCGTTACACTGTAGTTTTTCCACTTACACCACAGCCACATCACCCGAAAAATGGTTGTTTGTACTCCTGAGTTCAGAGAAGAGGAATACTGCTGGGCTTTCTTGCTTTGAATTATTTAAGGAACTGGTCTAATGGAAAAATAATTAGATCTGACTGGAAGAGAAAGGCTGCTTCTGTTAGAGAATGATGACAGAACTAGTCTTCCTGAAGGTATCTTCACACTCACTCACAGAAAAGCATGCTTGAGGGCACCAAAGCATTAAGAGGTTTTCAGCCACAAAGTTCTGTTTCACTGTCTTAAGTGCTTTTGCTGGCTATAAGGAAAGAAAAAGCATCATCAATTTCCACCCCACCCCCCCACCCTGTTCTAAGTGCTTGTATGATGTGTCTTGGCATAAGTGTGTGTAAAACAAACAAACAAACAAAACCACCAAAAAAACCCAAAACCCAGTATTGCCAGCATTCTTGAGAATATGAATTTTGATAAATGTATGTATATTATATAAATAGGTACTACATATGAAATTTTTCCTCACTTGAGCTTGAAAATTCAACCTTAATACGTAAGTGTTCTTTTATGTATTTCAGTGCTGCTGGAGGAGAAATATTTGACTTGTGTGTCTCAGATCTGGATGACAAAATTGGTGAAAGGGATATTGTAAGACTTATAAGACAGATCCTTGAAGGACTTTGTTGCTTGCATGAAAACAATATTGTTCATCTTGATTTAAAGGTGAGGCTGCAGCAGGCTCTTTATTTTAGGACTTTATCTTCAATTTAATATTATGGTAAAACCGTTTGTTAAATACATAACAAAATATCAGGAAGAAAAAGCAGTGTTTTAGATTATAACTAAAAATTACTTAAACTTTAGCAAGAACTATTGCATAATAGAAACTGAAATGTCATTTTTTTACTTTTGGGTTTTTGCAGCTGTTACCTTATTAATTTGAGAATTAAATCTTTTCTATTGTAGCCTCAAAATATTTTGCTGAGCAGTGTCAATCCTCTTGGTGATGTAAAAATTGTAGATTTTGGTATGTCGCGGAAGCTTGAGAATTCTAGAGAACTGCGACAGATCATGGGAACAACAGAGTATCTAGGTATGGGAGAATTGTTTCACAATTTCTGTTGTGTGCTTTTGAGAAAACAGGAACAGTTCATATAATGTGCTTATCAACTAATCAGTCACTACTGGAGGAAGAACAGCAAGGCAACATGGTTTGAGCTGCTCTTTTTTTAGTGGTCAGCAAATACTAGTACCAAAAAAATTCCAAATTATATCAGTAAGTGCCCCTCTAACTTGATGCTGTAGCATTTGCTGTGGTGCAGGCTGTTAAATTGACAGAAAGAAACTTTAGCTGTTAAATCCTTTTCGATAAGAGTTGGAATAAATCATTAGCATGCACAACAAAATGTTCTTTGAATTAGGAACGTGTTTAATGGGATTAAAATATTCCTCAGAAGGGGAAAGACTGCCATTAAAACTTGGTCCTCTCTGAGGGGCAGGTTTCCTTTGTGATCTGACCACACTCAATTTTAAGAGCACTTCAACCTATAGTGAATAACTTGCTATCCAACATATGCTAACAGCCACTGCTCCTAAAATTGGCTTGGTTGTCTGGCTTTGCAGCATTCACATGCCAGAGGCTTTATGCATTCCCCTAAAAAGCTGTGTACTTGAAAACCTCTTAGAAGGATCTTTTATGTGCATGCATCTGATGAGAAAATATCTTGGGACTTGCATAGGATAGACTTAAGGTCACATAGTATCATTTTAGTGTGAACCAGTTAAATTGGTGTGTCTAATTAAATGGAAACAGCTTTTTTCACCCTTACGGCTTGAAAATAATAAACTTGATTATTGAATCCGCAAGTTAAGTGTCATAATAATGGCTGGCAAAAAACTGCCTGAAATGTAGTGTATGATTCAAGGCCACTTGAATAATATATCTATTAAAATGGTTTTTTTCTCCCCATCTCTTTCTCTAGCTCCAGAAATCTTAAACTATGATCCTATTACCACGGCTACAGATATGTGGTAGGTTGTGTATGTTAATTAATTTTACTGAGGTAGGTGTGACCACTGAACAGTTTATGGGCAAGATCCAGACTCTGGTGCAGTTTTATCTGGCTCCCAAGAATACCCTTCTGTTGGGAGGGGAAGGAACCCTCGAGGTATAATCTGGAATTTAAAGGAATTACCGTATGTGGGTCTGTTGCACTGCTAGTGAGGAATGCAGGTGTCTTCTGAGTGAGCGGAGTATTTTGTTCTAAGGGAACAATGACAGTGTTTGCATAGCATACTTGAGGTGTTAGTTACTCTTGGATGACATGCCTCAGGTATTAACTACTCTTGGACACTCCGCCCTCCCCACTTTTCTGTCATGAAATAACTTTATTATACAAATGATTAAGTATTTTACCTTTCTAATGCTTCTCTTTGGAGCAATATCTGCAGAATGGGTCATAAAAAGAGACAAGTACTTTAAACTAATCCACAGCTTCATTAATTCTACCTTTGTAGCTTGTTGATTTCATGAGCTATGTTAGTGTAAAGGCTAACTTTGCCATGTTTCCTTAAAAAGGTTTAATGTTTGTATGCTCTTAAGCATCTAAATAACTAAAACTCAGTTTTAGAAGTTGCTATGATCTAATTACTCCTGAAATTCTCAACTCGTAATAATTAAATCTGTTTGTGAATGTTCTTTAACCACTATTTGCCTGTTTTGAGGGAAGATGTAGACCCAAACTAGTGGTGCTATACCCAGAATGACACACGCAGCAGCTGCACGTTTCCACACATTTAGTAACGAGTACTAAGGTTTGATCTATCAGATCACAAAACCATTATTAATATGCATCAAGAAACCATCTATGGATTATAAAAATCATGTGATGTGTGGTACTTGCATTCATATTCTTAGGGGAAACGAAATCTCAGCAAGAGGATGTTGTAACACAAGTGTCAGTTGTACAGAACAGTTGACTAAATCTCAGTCTTTGATACTTCATCCAGCATCGTAGTGAAAGATGGGGTTTTATTTAAATGCGAATTAGAAAGTCTGTCTTTATGGAGGTCTGTCATCCAGAATTGTCCATATGTCCAAGAACGGACTATGTAAAAATGATATATTTCCTTTTATTAACACTGTGGACATACCCTTTTCTTACATTGAGATTATGCAATTAAAGAAAAAATCACTTCCTTGAGCTATATAGAGAGCTTTCCTTGTGGGTGCATGTGCATACATGCTTGAATTGCATACAAGTGAGACGTCACGTGACGTTTCTAATTCTTTGAGCAGAACATATAGGAGGAAGTTTGGTCTGCAGCACAATAAATATGGGGGGTGTATTGTTCAGGTATCCTAGTAAGATTATACTTTGTGTTCTTATCTCAGGAACATAGGTGTAATTTCATACATGCTGCTGACACAAGAATCTCCATTTGTGGGAGCTGATAATCAAGAAACTTACCTTAATATATCTCAAGTTAACGTGGATTATTCAGAAGAAACATTTTCATCAGTTTCACAGCCTGCCAGAGACTTTGTTCAAAAACTTCTCATAAAAAATCCAGAGTAAGTAACAAACTTCTCCAGGCAAGAATCTTATCTTTTGTCTTTGTGGAGCACCTAGAAAAAGTGGATATTGATTTGCAAGCTTAATACCACTGATAAGAGCAGCCAGATATTTCAAAGTGTAGATTTATGCTTTTCCGTAATGTATGAAGAGGTATTTGGTTCTCTGGGTTTTACTGTAGTCAGGTTTGTGCTTTGAGTTTTGTATTTTCGGTTTCTTTGTATTTTCATTCAGAGGACAGCTTAGTAACAAATCTGATGAAATACGTTCTAGAAAGGTCGCATTCTTGTCTATAATTTAACCTTTTCTTGCACAATTTGGAGAGACAAAATGCTGTCTTTATGATGCAGTGCTTTCTTGCTTCCTGACTTACTTTTAACGTATCGTTCTACTTCAGTACATTCTACATAAAAACTTGGCGGTCTTGTGACTGAGCGTATATTCTTCAGAACTGTACAGTGTTTTGCCACCATACATGCTCTCAGTCAAAAGTATGAACTTTTCGGTGGTAAGGCACAGTTCCATAACTTTGCATTCTTTGGGAGTTCAGATTCTAATCAAGGCCTTTCAAAGTAGCTGAGCTTTGAGTAGATAGTCTTTGAGAGTGGGAGGATTACAGACACCCTGTCTGTGCTTGCTGTATAATGTTGAATCTGGGTAATCTTTTAACTGTTGCACCAGAAAATGCAGTGTGGGGGGAAAAAAACCCCAAACAAACCCAAACAACAAAAAGAGAAAACCCCAAGACAGATGTCCTAAAAGGTGTATATGGGGGAATAATCTTTAGTGAAGTTAGCTATGTTCTTAGGCACGGTCAGGTATTATCAATTTACAGTGATAAGTGTTGTCTTTTCTGGTGAGGCAGTAGTTCTGTCATCTTCAGGGAGCCTGCAGCAAGCAGGAGTGACCCTGTTGTTTGGTTGCAAAAGGGTTTTTTGGATAGGAGGGGATGATGGGAGATGATAAACATGGAGTGCCTACTTCAGCAAAATAAAGACTCCATATAAATTCATGTCTGGAGAGGATGAACAGTCCTTTCTGGTTTTGCCTCTCACATGGAGGGTTTGTCAATATCTGGAATAACTCTCGAAAAACGTAGTATCATGAGGGAAGCAATTGTGGTGGGCCTGCTTTCATAAATGATAGTGTGGATCTGTGGGATGTTTGACATTCTGTCACAGTTCCTACTCGCTTTCTTGCTTCTGGGTGTTATATTCTCAATAACGCTGGGGGGTTTTGTTGCCCCTCATTCCAATTCTTGATGACTATACCTTGAATCTTAAGAGGAAAAATGTGTCCTCAGATGGTCAACTCTGTAAAGTTACAGTTTTCTGACCAGAAAGTATTCACGTGTTCAGGTAGGGTTAAGGACAAAGAGTGCTCTCTGTTGCATTTCCAGCGAGTTCTGCGTTCTAACAATGCAGAACTTGACGAAAACTCTAGTAGCACTATACTAGGTTATCTAAAGGAACAGTTTTATAAGTCTGTACTTTGATAGTGACTACAATTTGGAAGGGTTTACACTAGTTTATGATCAATTGCAAGAGCATACGCTGCAGAATGTCAGATAGAGTTGATGATATCGTGTTATCTGTCCCTCCTTGAAAACCTAATGACCAAATATTCATTAGCCTCCCTTTTGCAATGTTTTTATAAAACATAGGACCTCAAAAGCATAAGGACGTGCACACACACACACATATATATATAATGTTGAGAACATGCCAAGGAGCTATGAATACCAGCTGAGAAATACCTATTTCTTTTTTGATGAGAAGCTTACCAGATCTGATACTCAGCAGTGGGGGAAACTGTCAACTAAAATTCTGGCACATGTTGCCAATATTTAACCCCAAAGTGTCATAAGGCCTAATGTGTGTTTTATCAGCAGTGGTGGTGGTGGAAAACCAGCAATATTAACTCTTTAGTGTCAATTCTGCTTAAGATTCCTTAGCCTGTGTCAGAGCTGTCATAATTACATTTGTAGTATTCCTGAAATGAAGCAACTTTATCCTTTTCTCTTTCAAAGGGAAAGACCCACAGCAGAGGCCTGTCTTTCTCATTCGTGGTTGCAGCAAGGGGAGTTCATGCTCTTGTGTAGCCCTGAAGAAACTTGTTGCTCTTCTCTGATGCCAGGACACACAGCAAAATGCTCAGAAGAGCGGAATATAAAATCGAGTTGTAATGGTACCTGTAGCAACAAGGAAGACAAAGAAAACATTCCAGAGGACAGCAGTACAGTCTCCAAACGGTTCCGTTTTGATGATTCGTTGCAGTATCCCCAAGACTTCATGACAGACCTCGTATGTTAATGTGTAATATAGACTCTTAGAAAATGAATTTAGCATAATCTATTCCAGTGGCGAATATAAGATTATGGTTTGCCAATTCGTGCAGTGTTGGCATACTGGAAATGCACTTTGATTCTTTTATGCTGGTGCTTCCTTTAATATCCATTGCTGGCAATGGATTTACCTCCTGACAATTTGGGGTGGTTGCACCAATAAAATGAATTTTTTTTTAAGAAGATAGAGTTAAATATTTTTGCACTTTTCAAGTTTTAGTCCAACAATGATGCCAGATTGAACAAACTAAAACCAGGAAATGAGTTTGTTTAAACTCAAGCTTTGCCAAACTGGTTGAATACATGCACACTGTTATGACTAACCCTAAGAAGAAATTGGCCCCTGAAGGGAAGCTGAATCTAGCTGTCTTACTGAGCTTATTTGTGACCATTCTTATAGCTTTTAAATGGAAGCTAAAGCTGGTGTATTTCAGGAATATGATCCATCTGTTGGGGCCATTTGGAGAACTGCTTTCTCTCTAGTGTCAGTAGTAGTTAAGGAAATGTTTGTGCCTTATAGATCTGGTCCATTTAAGGATTACAATGCATACTCTGTGTGTTTTTTCCTGTGTTGCATCTCTGGAATGCTTGAATAGAAAACGGGTAGATTGTCAGTCCTTGTGCTCTTGGTCCTTTGCTTCTTACCAATAAGTTATGTTTGAAGAGGATGAGGTCCTGTGCTGATGTGAATATCTCATCACTCCTTAGTTTGCTTTCATAAAAACTCTGAAATAGTATTTTGTACTTGCACTGCCCTATTCCTCATCTTAAAACAAACAAACAAACAAAAAAACCCAAACCACACAAACCCAGCAAAATAGAAAGGCTCTTCAGAGTTCAAAGTAATAACTGAATACATGGAAAATAACCATTTTTGCCAATGAAGCTACGATTAAAAGCTTTGCATTATGCCCCTGTAATGTAGAAGTGCAGTGCATCTTTTTTCAGTTATTGTTATCCATAATAACTTAGTTTCATGCCCACTCTGAGAAACGGACTGCAGTGTGTTAATATTTAAAGACAAGCTACCTAATAATTGTTCTAAGCCTTTAAATGTGTGTTGTTTAGTGGGTTGGTTATTTTTTAAAAAGCTATATCCCTTCCACATCCTGTTTCTAGGCTCTGAGGAAATAATGCCTATGTCAAGTTTTGACTTTAAGCACATACCAATCATGCCTTAACAGCCTGAAACTAATACTGACAGGATAAGACCCTAATTGTAACACAGGCTGGAAGTCTTGTTGTGTAGGGCATGTATTACAACTCTGATAAATATTTTGAAAGGAAATGGCACTTTAAAATACTTTAGGGTTTTTCCCCTCCTCAGAGCTTAGTCTTAATCGTCTTTGATTTGGGTTTGGTTTGTTTTGTATGATATCACAATCCAATAATCTTTTTCAAGTGTGCCTGTGGGCTTGTCAATAGTTTGCCAGATTGAACTTTTGGAACAACATATGATTGAGGGGTCAACATACTGAGTGGTACAAGATAAAATACCAAGTTGTATTTTATCTTTCTTGGCACAAGGAAGGAACAGGGGGTTTTACAAATAGATTTCAGCGTAGAGTATCAGCATAATTCATGGCGGAATTCAGGACCATTGTCTTCATTTTGGGTGATGCTCATGTTGACAAGTGAGAAGCCAACTGAGGTATAAGGCATATAAGGCTGTTGGTCAGAAGTAAAAGTTTTCCTAGAGTTCATCTGATGTGAAATGAAGTAACGGGTATGTTCAGCACGGATGAAGCTCAGAGGCCTAGGTATAAATGAACCACACTGACTCACCTCTGTGTATTAATTCTCATGTAACTTTTTCAGTGATACTGATGATAATTAGAAAATTACTTTCCTGGAGTTAGTTTTTTGGATGGCGTTCAGGTACCTTATACCTTTACTTTTTAGATTCCTCGGGTTTTCCCAGTTGGAGTCTTACCTAACCTTTTGGGTTTTTTCCACCAGCATGGAGTCTACTTTGAACTGCGTAAAGTAAAAATACCAACTCTTTTATGTGTGCTCGGAAGTTAAAGTTCACTTAAGATATGAAAATGTCAAAAATGGATTAAGGTAAAAAAGAATGTTTATAAAACTGTTGTATTTTTGGAGAATTCTAAAATTTATTACTCAACTAAAATTGCAACTGGGAAGCTTTTGAAAGTCTATAGATTAGTATTCCATTTCTAACATCTTGAAAACAAAGCTGAGAGCATATGGCAGCACTTTATGACAAAGTTGTTATTCCTTCAGATTTTTATCATGATATCTGATGTTTACATTTCTTACTGCTTTGGGAGCTAACTTATCTTTAAATAAATGAAAGTTGGTCTTATCCAAGAAACTTAAATTTTGAGGAGTTTTATTTGTGCTTTATGTAAACTTCAAATATACCTTGAATCGGATTTTGTTTGGATCAGTGTTTGATTTATTTAAAAATATGATTGTGCATGCGTAACTTCAGTTGAATGTAAATACATACATTGTAGACAATTGTTAGCTCGTCTTGCTTCCTGCCTTATTACTGGGAATTACAGAGTGCAAATGAGTGAGTAATGTTTTAAGATGACTTAAGTCATATTTCTATGCAGTTCATGACCCTTTTTATAATATAAATAAACTTTGCCTTTTTTCACAACTCCTGTGTTTTCATTTCTTCACAGAATCAGAGAATGGTTGAGGTGGGAAGGGACCTCTGGAAGTCGTGTTGTTCAAGCAGGGCCACCTAGACCTGGCTGGCCAGGACTGTGTCCAGATGGCTTTTGAGTATCTCCAAGTGTGCTGGAGGAGACTCCACCTCTGGGCAAGCTGTTCCAGTGCTCAGTCACCCTCAGAGTTAAAAAAAGTATTTCCTTATGTTTAGATGGAACCTCCTGTGCTTCAGTTTGTGCCCATTCCTTCTTGTCCTGTCACTGGGCACTGCTGACAAGAGCCTGGCTCCATCATCTCTGCACTCTCCATTCAGATACATGTGTGTTAAGACACATCCTCTCCCTCCCCAGGCCTTTTCTTCTTTAGGCTGACCAGTCCCAGTTACTTCAGCTTTCCTCATAGGAGAGATGCTCTAGTTCATCCACCATCTATGTGGCCCTTTGTTGGATTCTCAGGTATGTCTGTCTCACTGAGAAGCCCAGAACTGGACTCAGCACTCCTGTGCTTAGTAGAAGGGAAGGATGGCCTCCACCAACCTGCTGGTGATACTTTGCCTAAGGCAGCCCGTAATACCGCTAGCTGCCTTTGTGGCAAGGGCGCACTGCTGGCTCGTGTTCCACCGTGTGTCCACCAGGACCTTCTCTGCAAAGGTATCTTCCAGCTGGGAGGCCCCAGCACGTATTGGTGTACGACCACGTATTGCGCCATGACCACGTAAGGAAACTTCAGTGGAAGGTTTGTTACACATACTAGCCTCCTGGGGCACTAATTATACGTTGTCTTTCTTTTCAAGTAGATGGTTGAATTTACAAACAAACCCCAAAAAACCCACCCGATTTTCCTTCAGAAAAGGAGTTAGGCTCAAAAGACGTGATAACCCATTGTGGCCTGGACAACGTTTCCTACAAAGGCACATTTCACTGAGGAAATGAAAGCCTTTTCATTGTTAGAAATGCACAAACGAGGTTTCATTTTGGTGAAAGAAACAGTGTATTCATGTGCTTGGTTCGGTGTTGCTTGCAGCATTCGGTTCAGAATTCAGCGGAATGTCTACTTTTCCTGCATTGAATGTTCTTATCAGGAATGCTGCCTTTTTTCTTTATATTTATTAAGACATCTGGGAAACTAATATTCTGTTTAACACTGTAGCAATTGGAGACAGCTTGAAATTTGCCTTTTCAAAAGGGCTTCTAAGGAAGGAGATGTTAGAAAAACATAGTCTAGATGATAGCTGACCATCTTCTTACCAGGACAGTTATGCTTGTACTCCTGCCAAGTCAGATAAGCTGTGCTTGGATAAATACGCGGTAAAACTGGGGCAAGATAAAAGTATGCAGTTAATGTGTGTTTGTTTCAGAAACCAACTCTCCTGTGCCCTAAGAACCCAGCAGCTGACAGACTCAGAAACTCTGCCTGGCCCATACAGTGCTGGAGAAGTGAGCAAGATAGAGCATGAGTCAGTGTGTAGGAAGTTTTTTCAAATTAATGGTGACGTTACAAAGTTGAATTGCCAAATCACCCACCAGTGCGTGAGAGTATAAGCAAATGTCTTAATTAAAAGCACGTATGTGAATTATGACATAACAATTCTTAGCTGGTTAGCCCTAATAAATAAGGGCTGGACCACTACAACTTCAAAGAATCAATTATTTCATGTGACAGCACTTGTTTTTGTTGCTTTCCCAACACATCAGGAAGAGGGAGGGTGATTTCTGACCCAGTAACACCTGTGACAAAGCCGTTGCCATCAGTGAAATGAAGACTTTGCCTTTGAGGAGAGTGTGGAGACAGGCTTCCTGTGCCAAACACATTAGCATCCGGAGTCAGTAAGTCAGCATCCCGACACCGACCACAAAGTATTCGTATTTCCTTTAGTGTTAGGATATTCTTGGTAGTAAATAAAGACTCATTTGCTAAACTGGCACTGATGGGTGCTCAACCGTATTCTACTGTGGGTTTTTTTCATTCTGGAGTGACTGCAATGATGAAGTAGGCATACGAAGTCAGGCCTGTAACGTGCTTTGGTTCTGTTGACACAGATAAGCCCAGATCTCTTCACTGCCTTGAAAAATCCTTTCCTGTGTTCCAGTAACTGTAGGATTGTGTTGTACATCAGTGCTATTACTGTGGTGGCTGTCCTAGAACAATTTGCAAAGTGATCTTTCCTTGATGGTCAGTAGTTCATAGGAGCAGAAGACTCACCTAACTAAACACATGCTTCTCATAGCACAGCATGTTTCTGAGAAGGATTTTACAAACAATGCATAAATAACATATATATGTCTATGTACTTAATAAAAAAAAAAGACTTTAGATGGAGTGGGGTTCAAGAAAAGGTATTACGTGGGAGTAAATTCTGTTCAGTTGAGATTGCTGTAACTGCTGGAGTGATTTGGAATAGAACTTGGAGAGACAAGTCATAGGCCTTTAAGAAGCTGTGATTCTGTTGCACTCAAACATCTTGTTCCATTTTCGTGTTAGTTAATGTTTTTCAGTCTGTCATCTAAAATTATTTTTAAAGCAATACCCAAATCTAGGAATTATCCCACACACAGGAGTTGCTCTATTTGTTGTACTTTCAAACATTATTTATTTGC